GGCCACAAAAAACAGGACAAAAGTCTGTATTTAAAATATACTGTATTTTAAAATATTCTCACATTTATATACAAACAAACATATCTTTTAAAAGCCTGAAAGGGACAGCTGTAACAGTAAGTGATTTTTAAAAATATTTCTTTACATTTTTGTTTATATCTCAAGTTTTAAAATGAACATTATGAACATATATAATCATTATACTGCTAAGTGAGGCATTTATGTCAAACCTGTTGAACATCCTATCTGCATTATCAAATCTTCCATTCTGCAGGCATAGCATATACTCTGGTGCTGAAAGGGGAAAGGATTAGAGTGAAGTTAGAGCACATTCGTTGAGATTTGTGTGAGACAAAATGTAACCGAGGGTAATGCTAAGGAGCCTTACCGATCCTAACAAGGTAAAAGAGCACGTAACCTGGGGAAGAGTAGTGACTTCCATACATGAATTTTGGCTCAGGCATTTCCTGGTAACGAGTCTGGAATATAGGGAAGAACAGCACTAAGTATTAGGGATAAAGTAGAAACTGACCCACGAAGTAAGGGCCTCATGGTGGCATGGATACACTGTACTCCTTAGTTTCCCTCCTAGCTAACGTCTGAGACTCACAATCCCTGTGGCAAGTGTTTTGGTTTTCTTGGCTTAGGAGAAACAGTGCTGGGGCTGGATGACACAGAATTGATTTTGTGCATCTCATGTGTTTACCATAGAATGCTCCCATGAAAATAACCCTGTAACCCTAAACAGGTCACACTCCTACTTCGTCAGTTGTATACCATAATGCAAAGAGTGAGCAGCTACATTCACGGTGGGGAAAAGAAGTGAGAAACACACCAGGAAGGGTCAGTGATTTCATTCTTGGTGCGTTCTCCTAAGCCTGGGAGAAAGGAGTTTCAGAGGCTATGAAAACACAGTCTTCTGGATCATGATTTTGTTTAGAAATCTCCACTGGGTATGGTGATGCATACCTGTAATCTCAGCACTCAGGAGGATCGCTGAGTTCGAGGCCAGCCTGGGCTACAGAGTGAGTTCAAGACCAGCCTAGACTACACAGTGAAACCCTGTCTCAAAAAACCAAAATAATAAAACCTTGAATCCTATGTCCACATACCAGTAGTCTCTCCAGCCGTTCCTTATTTAGGGCTCCCACTGGCTTACTAAGGTCCCTGAAGGTTCCTGGATTTGATAAATCTGTAAACATAAATAAATAACTTCAGCTTTTACCATCATCCTGAACTGATGCAAATTTACATATTTACTTGTACAAAATAATTTTCAAATTGAAATAAATCCATGAGAAAAATAGCATTTCTATTACTTATATAGCTGCAAAAAAGTTAGCAATATCTGCATAATAGTATCTTTTAATTTGACAATGCTTTGAATACTGATATTTTGCAAAAATATTTCTGATTAAAAGCTACATTCAAAGAAGACAAAAAACTAAATTTTTAAACCATTAAATTTCTACCAAGATTGATTTTCTGTGTTGGAATTATGGTATTATTATGCTATGATATTAGCATAATTTGAGAACCAGGGGTCTGAAAATTATTAGAGAAATAAATTCTCATATTCTTAGGACATCTGTTATCTCTGTCAACTGTAAAGCTTAGTGAACTGTCAAAAGGAAACTGTTCACAATACAGAAATTAAAAATATTGCCGGGTGCACTGGCACATACTGTAATCCTAGCTACTCAGAAGGCTAAAGGTAACTTCAGAAGCACAAGTTCAAGGCCAGCCATGTCAATTTAGATAGACCCTGTCTCAAAATAAAATAAAATAATTAATTCATTAACTTTAAAAAGGGCTGGAGATAAGTGGAACAATGCCATTGGTTCAATCTTTAGGACTGCAAAAAATTTTTAATTTAGAATTATAATATCATCATATTTGTATTAAAATAATTTGAGGGAGCAACAGAGAAGTACATTAAGTTAGAATGGTTATTTCTCAGTAATATAATCATGGGTGATTTTTACTTTCTTCTTTGATAAAATGTTCTACAATGAATGGTTATTTCTTTTGGTAATCACAATTTTTAATGTGAGTTTTAAAACAATACTGTAAAGTGAATCACAATTTTCAGTGAGAAATTTGAGTATTTCAAAACTTCGTGCTTCCAGATGATAACACCAGATTAGATACAAATATTTTCTATGTGTGTACTTCAAGAGGTACAGTGGAGAAAACAAATATGAGACACTTTTATGATTTATATGTAACACGTATTTAGGGTCTGGGAGTGGAAACTAGCCATCTTTAATAATAAAATTGCCTATCAGCTGGAGACTGGATAGAGAAAATGTGGTTTTTTAATAAAATGGAGCACTACTCAGCCATAAAGAATGAGAAATTAGACATTTATAGCTAAATGGATGCACACTGAGGCCATAATCTGTAAGTGAAATAAAATAGGACACACATGTGTAAAGGCCAAATAGACTCCTGGTGTGAGAAACTGAAAGTGTAAATAAGGATCAGAAAGCATAATACATATTGTGAAATAGGAAGAAAAGGTCCAAAGGGGAAGGGGGAGGAGTAAGGGAATGGAATTAATATGAGAAAAGGAAAAAATGGAAACAAAGTCTTTGTAAATAGGGAGGGGTGGAGGGGTTGAAGGGAGGGCAGGGGAAGGGGGAAAAATAAGAACCAAGAGAGACTATGTAAAGGTGCAAATTTCCAATGATGAATGTCAT